CCATCACTCCAGCACCATCTTTAATTTTCTTGACCTCAGTAACAGAATCCTTGTTTTTATTCAAGTCAGAACTCAAAAATGACTTTAATACCACACAAATCATGTGTAAGTCAAAATATTTTTATAAATGAAAAAATCACATTGATACAAGCCTTCAATTTAAAATGAATAAATAGCCACCCTAACACTATTAAATCAAACCAATTTTTAAAAACCAATTTTGTTTTGTTCCAAGCTCTAGGCAGAGTGTCAGGGGTAACTAGTCTTTAAGACAGATAACTATCTTGGACCGGAGTAAAAAAATCAATATTCCTATGCTGACGAAACCATAGCTAACGGGCCAATATTTAATCCCACAAACTGTGGAATGTGGAAAACGCCCATCGATGATTTCTTTTCTCTACTCTGGATTCAGGGCAGAAGAAATACATGTTCAGTAAATGTTCCCCTTAAATTAAGACCTTCTTCCTCTCACTGTTTCATAGATCTACATGTCTGCTAAAAACTGCCAAGAGCATTGAACTTTAATCTAAGAGTACAGAGTACTATCCCCAAATGTGTAAATATATTACATTGTGGACACTCTGAACGAAAGACCTTGCCTATGAAGGAGATGCTGTCAAAATGTCAGTTAATCACTAAGCAATTCCACAAAGACTTATCCAGAGGCAGGAAGTAATTTAAAGAAACAATTTTAATGTGCAATTGAGAAAGCATGCAATGTAGAGAGTTCCTGAGGATGGCATATTTTATTTCCATTTAATAAGAAGGAGAAACAGTATTTTTGTTCTGCTTATATACCAGATGGTATACCCAGAGGAAATAGACAACGGAGGAAAAAAGAAAAAAGCAAGTATACATTCTCAGATTGTTCAACAGAATCTTTGAATTACTTCCCACTTAAGGCAACTTCACTTTTATGGCACTTTTTAAAATTTATAAAATGCCTGAAGAAACATTATGTGAACAATCACATGGGTCGGGCTGTAGACTAACAGTGAAATAATCACTTGCCTTGGGTTCATGGAGAAGCTTGAAACAGGCGCGTAGGTGGCTTCAGCCACTACAATACATAATTACCACCTCTCCCAACTTGAGAGACCCTGGAACAGGGAATTGCATCTCCCAAATGATTTTAATGTGCCTTCGAAGGTAAACAAAAACGCTTTACCAGCTAGGCAGGACATTTTCAGAAAATGGTGAACTAATACACTTTGGGGTGGGAGGGATTACGTGTTTAAAATGCGGCACATATTTGAGTGTTCAGCACCAATGTCCTTTGCTTTCAGTACAAGCAAAGCTGGGGGCATTAAGCTGTGCTTTTTCAGGGAATAAGTTAGTCATACATAGCCCCAGGTTTTATCGGCTACAATTTTTGTTTATCTATCTTCTATTACTAGGATTGGGGAGATTACACCATGTGACACATAACTTCATGTGTGGACTTAGCCATACACTTTCCCTTTAAAAATGTAAGCTTGTAAACAATGTACACAGTGAAAGCCTTTTCTGGTTGGAAAATTATTTGCTGGCAGATGTCTTCCAAGTGACTTTTACTACTACTAGACACAAAATATTAAAAGTGTACTAAAGTGAAACTTAAAAAAATAGCACATAGTAATTATTTTACTCTTTGGCCAGTATTATACTTGGTATAACAAAATATAAGATTGGCAGAAAATGATATTATCTTTTTCAAATTACAATGAGATACGTAAATACACAGATACAGACAGAAATATAAAGCAAGAAAAATGCACGCACGCACACACACACGCACACACACACACACACACACACACACACACACACACACACACAGAGACAGAGACAGAGAGAGAAAGAGAGACACAGGAAGAATTTATACCTTTGAGATGTTTTGGTGATTTAACATTTTTAGTACATGGTGTATAAAAATAACTATTTGAAAATAAATAACACTTACTCAATATGCTGTCTTTCCTGATTAAAGAGGATGTTTCATAGATATAGAACTCATTCTGTGTAAATACCATTATTCATGGCAAGTATAGTTTGATAGCATTAGATGGGAACTTTCATCTTGAAGTCTCAATGGGATCATTCCTATGAATTACAAAGCATTTTAAAGCTTTGGAAATTTCTGCTAAAAATCAGCTAATAGTATGGTTTCTATGGGTTGTTTTATAGATTGTTACTTTTTGTGGTCCCTGTTTGAGGTCAATGGCGATGTTCATAATGACTTGGGAAGCTGTAATTTGGAGAAAAGGAAATGAATCTTGAAGAGAAGTAGGAGAAATGCATTATGATTTAAACTAATATTGATTTTGTGATTTTTCTAAATTATATTCTGATTTTGCTCTTCAGGTTATGTTTAAAATTACTACATGAGCTTTCCCTCCTTTGTAAGTGTCAGAACTTAATACTGATCTTAATACTGACCTTGATCAGTAGCCATGTCTCATCTCAGATCTAATACATTCTTGACAAAATCTAGTCTATAGTGCTTTTCCCCTGAAAATCTAGATCAACGTAACTTTGGAAAGATACTAGCTATAACAAGTGTTGGCAAAGGTTTATCATGGGTGAAAGAATGAAATTGAAATTCCTATATCTGGAAGTAAAAGGACAATTGATTGGACCTGATATCATTCAAATTCATGATGAGTACACAAACTGAATGCTTCTCAAATAAGGAACCAGATTACAGGGCCCATACAATTCCTAAATGTCAAGATGTGTCTAAGCTGGAGGTAGTTATGACTGGAAGATATTCTTACTCTACTCTCTCCCCTAAATGAAGCTATTCTTATAGTGATTTCCAGTCATATTTTCCCTTCTGTTGGTTCAATACACTCTGAACACATGCATCAATATGGGAACAAAATCGATATTCATTAACACGGTGTTTTCATCCACTTAATACAGCATGACGGCCCTAAAAACATTTACTTTTAGTCTTCACACCTCACTCACCAATAATGAGTCCCAAGTATTTTTGAGGTTAAACAGTTTCATAAAAATCCACTGTATGGCTGTTAATTCCTAATGGCCTATTCTGATGAAAATAAAAAAATAAGAAAGCACAATAGATATTTAAGAAGAACTGAAAAAAAAGGAGAAGAACTGGAACAGCACATAGTTATCAACTATTACAATTTTAGTAGAATTTATGACGATTAAATACTGAAAGAGTAATTTCTGTAAAAAAGTATATGTAGTTACTACCTTTAGTAAAATAGACTCTCAACTGTCATCAGTGTTAGCATGAGATATTAACTTTGGAGTAGAGAGTAAGCTTTTCAGTTTCATCACTTTTACCATTTTGCAAGGGCTTCTCTGACTATTTGAGGCTGTGAGGTCAGCTCGCCTTCCTTGCAGAAAGTTGCTCTAGTATCGTAAGAACAGTTCCTCAGAAAACCTCACAGAAGAGGTCACAGCTCTACAGAACATCTAAAAACCCACGGTGAAATTCAAGCTGAGCCATGGGATAACACGAGTTAGAGTAAAAACTTCTCCGAGGCTTTCAACTGCCACACGCAAGGAGATGCCAACCAACACATTAGTGAGCTCTACTTCCTAACCCCCAAACCAGTGAATCAACAGCGAAACGTCCCAAAAGTTTCAAACACTCAATACAGGTGTTAATCATTTATATAAACTTAATTGCAATAAAAATATTTATCGACTACTTTCAGAATTCTTGGTGAATAGCCCAATAAAATTATAAATACTAAGCAGATGTTCAAGAAGACATTTTATAAGTACTTAATATTCTCATAGCTTCCCATGGTATAGTTTTCTATTTTCAGAAATTGCCTATTTAAGTGCTCAAGATGTGTGTGTGTGTGTGTGTGTGTGTGTGTGTGTGTGTGTGTGTGTGTGTTTTCACTTAATGGTTCACTGACACAAACATGTCCCCTTAAACTAAAAATTATCCTTTTAAGGATAAATATTAAAGTAAAAATGCACTCAAATAATAGGCAATCAAATGTTTTTATCTTTGCATAGGTAAGAATTTCTCTAATACGATATAGCAAAGACCATAGTATGTTGTAATTTTCTTATGTTTTGAGTGGTATTGTTTACAGGCCCTCTTTCAGGCAGAGTCAGAGTGGTAATACGAAGGAAACTTTGTGCAATATCTCCAGGAGGTGTCAAGCGGCCAAGCTAATCGCCAACAGGATCTCCTACATGGGAGAATTATCTCACTGAGGGACCCTGTACAGTCATTTCTCATTTGTTTCTATTTTTATCTGCGTGTGCATACGGAGGCCAGAGGTTGATACAGGGCACCTTTCTCTACTGTTTCCACTTAATTCTTTGAGGCAGTCTCTCATTCAGCTAAGGACTCACAAACGGCCTAGAGCCTGTGAGTTCTGTGGATTGGCCTGTCTTTGAATCCCTGAGGGGGATAACAGTTGTGCATAAACACACTCAGCTTTTCTCTGGGTACTGGGATCTGAACTGCTTTCGTGTTTGTTGGGCAGGCACTGTTTAAATGAGCTCCCCTCTCTAGTCCTAGAGTCCATTTTCTTATCTCTATTATATGACCATGACACTGAAGATAAAATCATGGAGGAAGATCATTTCTCAATGGGAAAAATGTTTACAGTATTAACTTGAAGGAAAAATGCTTTCGAGCTACCAGAGACATTTTGCACAGAAAACAGAAAGGTCATCAAAGTTATTATGCAAGAAAAATACTCTGGCTTTATCAAATAGTAGGATAGATTCAAAGGAGCACCCCAAATGCTCTTAAATCCGGCATATTATTACATAAACAAGGTGATGAATACCCCAATTCAGTGAAACTCTTAGAAGGGTGTGCCTTGGGAGCAGGGACTGCAACAATCAGAATTCATATTATGCATATATAATATTGTCAAATAAAAAAATCAATAAAAATGTTATATTTAAATCACACACCAAATAATCAAAACTTTGAATACCATATGTGTGTTAATTATGGTTGTTAGATTCCTTCCCAAAAGACTAGCCTGGTATCAAGCCTTACTTACCTGCACACTTGGTTCTGGTAATCAGTGGTGGTCCTGGGAGTCCTGTTCCCCCTTCACCGGGTCTTGTGAGCAAAACACGGATCTCGTATTCTGTATCTGGATCCAAATGCCATAACTTGTATGTTGGAGCATTGACTGCATGGGTTTCTGTCCAAGATCCTGATGTCATTCGATATTCCACCTCTTTCAGGATGATGGGGCCATCCCCAATGATGGAGTTCGCATTGAGTTGGATCAGCAAGTAAGTAGGCCCCACGCCAAGCAGCTGGGGAGGGGCAATGGGTCTGGGTGGTTCTAGGAAAGACAGATATGTGTATACTCTAGTTAGGTAAGAATCTCAACTCCCAAACAGAGATATATTAACAGTAACATATATGTCATAAGTAAAGATGCTATATGTAATATCCATCTGTAACCAAAGGCATAGTGAACAATTGAGAAGCACATGGTAAATAGATAACCAGAGCCAGGGTTGGTGGCACATGCTTGTAATCCCCACACACAGTGGGCAGAGGTTGGAAGACTGCTGCAAATATGAGGTCAATATAGTGACCAGGCTAGGCTACTCAGTCAGACACATGCAAAAAAAAAAAACAGAGAGAGAGAGAGAGAGAGAGAGAGAGAGAGAGAGAGAGAGAGAGAGAGAGAGAAGAAGGAAAGGAGCAAAGTAAAAGAAAATATAACTTGGAAAGACATGATGTAGCAACTGTATTTTAAAGAGCCATTGGTTTTATGAAGGCTTTTGTTCCATTTAGCAAAAGATTCCTCTTCTTAAAAACATGCATTTCCAGGAGAGAACGTGGCAATACACAGCAGTCAACAGGGATGTAAAGAAAAGCACTGGAGAGGAGCGGCACTCATCAGGCGCGGAAGGAGGTGGGATGTTTTCTTCTCTTTATTTACTTCTGCTTCTGCTCCTGCTTTGCTTCTTGCAACTTCCAAGTTCTAGCAGATGAGCTAAGAGGGAGGGGCCGCAATCTGGAAGCAAAGCTGGCGCCACACACCCACCTCACAGCTTAGGAAATTGAAACTCGCAGTGAGAAGAAATCCCCAATCACTATATATCCGTGGCCCGTGCAGTAGCATGCGATAGGCCACATGTCACTTATTAAGCTCAAATGTCAAAGGGACATTGCAATTTAATTTTGGGTGGCTTAAGACATTGTGCTTGACAGAAACTTGGGGAAATACTGTTTCAACATCGGAATGATGGCTAATGTATTAGAGCAGGTTTTCCCTGATGGCAATACTGGTGAAAGGCTGGGCTGTCCTTGGAGGACTGCACAGAGCTCGCTCTTGTCTGCCCGGTCTTTCCACTGGAATACAGGGCAGAGGGGTCTCTTGGTAGACTGTCATCAGGTGGCATTTCCCTTCACCTTCTCGATCATTCCCACACTTCTCAGGGAGTTGAAAGGTTTTAAAAGAAAGTATTAATCTTAATAAGGTGATAAGTGTCCCCAAATTGATTTAAGAATTAATGCTGAAGAGTAACAGGAAATCACATACAGGAAAGCTATTACCATAACCACACAGTGCTCTAAGTCAGAGTAGACTGGAAAAAGGTGCAAGTCAAGGCTACACAAACAGTAACTTTTGAACTATTAATGACAATACATATGGGAGCGAGGGACTCCACAGAAAGGGTCTCACGAGCCTAGTCAAGTTTAAAGAAATCAAGAATTTTTTTATTGGGCCCAATATTTGGATGTTATTTATGATTTTAAAAAAGGTTTCTAACATGAAAATCCTCTGAATCACCAATACCCAGAAAACTGGGTCAAGACTCTCTGGCCTGGATCTCTAAAAATTAGTTTTGAGAAAATAACTTCAAAGTTTATGAGACTAAAAACACATAACATATTTACTAACTACTAATGACAAAGTTCTGTACATTGGGTATTCACATAATGTGGAGATTTTTTTATTTTTAAATGGAAGTTGTATATTATATAAAAGAAACAGTGTACCAAAGTAAAGAATAATAGACATGATGAAACTCTCCCTTCTGGAAATAACTATGAATATAAGTGGTCTCTTCTTGCATGGGCCCATTAAGGAAAGAGCTTTCAGACTGGCTGTCTCAGAATAATGTAAGTTGTGATTTACCATCCTCATGTGTAAAGTGAGAACGACCCTAACTACTGTGTGCTGTATGTGCCGTAGACATCCAGCACTATGTCTACAGAAAGATGCTCTTAACGCATGCTCTGTAAACACTACCCATACATAAGTCTAATGGTTTAGAAAAATATTTACCAGTAATGGCTGACATTTTGTCTTAGGTGAAAAATGGCCTGTTTACAAATGAAGTTCACCTCAAAAGGAAACACTTGAACCATACCAACAGTTTAGAGCATTCATTTATCAGATAAAATAGGATCGAGGTTGATTTTTTTTTTCATTCCCAAAAACATGTACCAATTAGCCTAACAACTTTCAACCCAGAGCTTACAAAACTCTTAGTAGATGGGAAGACAGAAAGGGAATGCATTCTCTACATGCTAAGCTGAACCAAGAGAGGAACCTCCCAGGAAATGCAAATGTCTCCCAAGCATTATACTTTACTAGTAAACTGGACTGCTTCATTAAGTGCCTGTTTGTTTTCAATCCAGATGGTTCACTTACTGACTAATTTCTTTTACGGTAGGAAACAATGTTAAATTCACAGTTCACTGAAATTCTCCCACCAAGCAACAATGTCTCACTCATTTCAAGGCTCACCAATGACCGGAAGAGGTCCGATACTTAACAGGATGAATGAAAAGAAAAAAAAAAAAAATGGTAAATGAATTGTAAATTGCAAACCTTACTTAAAATACCAGTGTACAGGTATTGCACAACCTGACCTTAGGTGTGTGTATCAAATGCTAAATCTCAGACATCAAAAGCCTCCCCACATTCACCAGAGAAAGCAAACAACAGAGAAGAGGAAGGAAGATGGAAAGAGAGGGGAAGGGGGTGAGGGATGGGGGCACAGCCAGAATAAACCAGTATGAGAAACAAACACAGTCTTTTTTCATTGCTGTTTGAAACAAGAGCGTTAAAGTGAAATCTGGAGCCAGGAGGCGAACGTTCAAAATCAAACGCCTTTGCGGTAATGATAAGGTAAACATGAGGGGATTATTTAACTTTCCACAGAGTCTTTTCACAAGTAAACTCTCACAGGAGACTTTAAGAGACTAAATTTCTAAGATGCACCAGCAGGCTCTGTGTGTGATGCTATTGGCTTTATTTTTGGTTGTTGTTTGTTTGCCTGACCCGCCCCCCCAAAACAAACAAACAAACAAACAAAAAACCCCAAAGCTTAAATCCAGCAATTAATATTGAATCTAGTGGCGTGTATAAGTGACGTAATGAGTTCGAAGTGGTGCATGCCCTGGCCTGAAGAATGCCAACAACACACTGATCAGTTTCATTTCACTTGCTATGGTCAGACAAAACTAGAAGAGTCAGGAATCAAAGCAACAGCTCAAAACTGGAACTGTCACAATGGGCAAAGCAGCTGAGATGCATACACATTGGTTAACAGCATGATTATAAGTGAAATCCACATTAAGGAGACGAATATCCTACTACATATTAAACTTCGAATGTTGGCGGTAAAAAGAAACCTTATATTAGCATATGTATTTTGGTTTTGGACCCCAGAGAACAAGGAAATTTATTTATAAAATCTCTATTCATTTCAATAAATTATGCATGAATTTTAATCAGTTAGCAAATGAACAAGTAATTGTTTTGCAGCAATGCTAATATTCTTCATAACTTAATATGCTACTAGACCCAGAGGTGTGGTGCAAATAAATCCCAAATGTACACTAGGTATCAAGTGAAGCATGCAATCCTCAAAATACAAGATAAACTTTGCCAACGTTCCCAATTAACTTTCCATTAATGACTTACATTCATTATTCTGGAGCTAAGCTATGATGAGAAAATCCCAATTATATATTCAGTCTGTTTTACTTGTTTAATATTTGAAATAATGTTTAAATGTCTTGAAATCAAGTAAGCCACTATGAAAGGATATTCCCACCCAATTATTCCTATTATAATGGTTTTTAAAACTATGTGTCGGTTATCAAAATCCAGTCAATCAATAAAATGCGAACGCAGAAATAGAAGCCAGAAAATGTCAGTAACAGAGTAAATGCCAAAGCAAAGGACACTTTCATGTCCATCTTTTGAAAAAGATAAATTAAGTTTGTCTCAATACTATCTCTTCCCCATTGTTTTATTTATTTATGTATGTATGTATGTATGTATGTATGTATGTATGTATGTATGTATGTATGTCAGAGAAAATAGCATCAGAAGGAGCCCTAAGTGAGCATTCCCACTATAAAAGCTGCTGGGGCATCATATTAGCGTCCTCTGACCACTCTGACAAACCACCACAAACTTGACTTATTTAATAAAACTCAGCCTCTAACAGTTCTTGAAACCAGAAAACTGAAATTAGTACGAGTAGACAGGAGATAATCAGGACATTGAAAGTCTCCCAAGTGTCTAGATACAACTTGGTTCCTTGTTTCTTCCATCTTCTGGGAGCTGCTGGAAGTATGGTCCTTTATCCACATTCTTGAGTTGCTGCTCTGTTGGGATGCGATCCTCACATACTTCTGCTCTACCCAAAGTCAAATCTCCCTCTGCTGTCCACTAGTGTGGACAGGTTGGATTTTCATGAGGAGGCACTGGCACTCAGGTTTTGCCCATTGCTAACTTCTGAGAGCCAAGAAGCATACAGACATGATTTCTAGCAGTATGGAACGGGAACGACAGAGCTGCTTGTGCTGGCCTGAATTCCATCACTCACTTCCCTGCTTATCGACAGAGCAGTGGCTTACTATCTCAATAGTGCAAGGCTAACCATTTACTCAAACAGGCTAGTTCAGTACCAAGGAGAGACAGAGAAATGAGCATTCACGCATACCACTTCCACAATCCCTGGCAAGTGAACAGAGGATGTTTTCTGGAAAGAATTTTTCAACATACATAAAGAAGGAAAAACATATTGAAAAAGCAAAGGAATTTCATTCACATCTCTAACTTTATTATAAGGGGTTTAGAATCATTTCTAGAAGAACAACACTTGAAAACGAACCATGGTCAGTTGTAGTAGGTCTATTCAACAGTAGTGCATTGAGACTGAAAAATGAAAGTATGAAAAAGGTTACTATTCTGGCTAGTTTTATGTCAACTTGACACAAGCTAAAGTCATTTGAAAGGAAGGAGCCTCAATAGAGAAGAAGCCTCCTCATGACCCAGCTATAGAGCATTTTCTTAATTAGTGA